TGGGGGTCTCAGGGGTCCCGATCCGCCCCGCCGCCGCTTTCCGTGCCGTCCTCACTCCTCCCTGTGCCCCCAGCAGAGCGCGGCCCCGCGGAGAGCATCGGCTCGGCGTCGGGCAGCAGGAACGCGCTGCAGCCGCTGCAGGGGGAGGAGGAGGAGGAGGAAGCCTTCACCACTTACTTCGACAGCAAAATCCCCATCCCCGACGATGAGACGGTGGGTGCGCCGCCCCCCCCCCCCCCCCAACCCCCAAACCACCAAACATCCCCCCCCCCCCTCCTCCTCCTCCCTGTCCCAACACCCAGGGTGGGGGCTGCGCTGCGCTCAGGGGTCTGTGATGCTCCTGGGGTGCAGGGACCCCCACCCTGAGGGTCTGGGGTCTGTGCGCTGTTCCCGGGGGTCTGTGCTGCTCCTGGGGGTCTGTGCTGCTTTGGGTCTGTGCTGCTCCTGGGGGTCTGCAGTGCTCCTGGGGGTCCATGGTTCTGTGCTCCTGGGGGTCTGTGCTGCTCCTGGGGGTCCACGGTGCTCCAAAGGGTCCAAACTGCTCCTGGGGGTCCATGGCTCTGTGCTCTTGGGGGTCTTCATTGCCCTTGGGGGTCCATGCTGCTCCTTTGGGTCTGTGCTGGGTGGGGGTCTGCACTATTCTCAGGGGTCTGTGCTGCTCCTGGGGTCCGTGCTGCTCTCAGGGTGCAGGGGCCCCCACCCTAAGGGTCTGGAGTCTGTGCGCTGTTCCCGGGGGTCTGTGCTGCTCCTGGGGGTCTGCAGTGCTCCTGGGGGTCCAAACTGCTCCTGGGGGTCCATGGCTCTGTGCTCCTGGGGGTCCTCATTGCCCTTGGGGGTCCATGCTGCTCCTTTGGGTCTGTGATGCTCCTGGGGATCTGCACTATTCTCAGGGGTCTGTGCTGCTCCCGGGGTGCAGGGACCCCCACCCTGAGGGTCTGGGATCTGTGCACTGTTCCTGGGGGTCTGTGCTGCTCCTGGGGGTCCTCGTTGCTCCTGGGGGTCCATGCTGTTCCTTTGGGACCATGGTGTTCCTGGGGGTCTGTGCTGCTCCTGGGGGTCCATGGTTCCATGGTGCTCCTGGGGGTCTTCATTGCTCCTGGGGGTCTGTGCTGCTTTGGGTCTGTGCTGCTCCTGGGGGTCCTCATTGCTCCTGGGGGTCCAAACTGCTTCTGGGGGTCCATGGTTCTGTGCTCCTGGGGGTCTTCATTGCTTTTCCGGGTCCATGCTGCTCCTTTGGGTCTGTGCTGGGTGGGGGTCTGCACTATTCTCAGGGGTCTGTGCTGCTCCTGGGGGTCCGTGCTGCTCCCAGGGTGCAGGGACCCCCACCCTGAGGG